AGAGGGCCCTGGTGCAAGGGAGGGAGTCAGGCTATGTGAGAGACCCAGAGCTGTGCTTGAAAATACCTGTCTCCTCCAGCTTTGACCTACTGCCCTTTATCTAACTTGGGAACTTCAATTCCCTAACTTTCGCACAAATTCTCTCCCAGGAGTAGCCTCAGATGGTTGCGCATATGTAGCTATAGTGGACTGCCCTGCCAGTCCCCCAGACTTGCTTGGACAGACCTACATCCTGGGGGGCATCTTGTGTATAATCAATTGTTAAGGTTCAGTTGGCTTCCTGTGTGCCAGGCATAGGAGTAAAAGCTGTAGACATGCTAGTCTCCTTACTTTTTTTTTTTTTTAAGATTTTATTTATTTATTTGAGAGAGAGTAAAAGAGGGAGAGAAAGCACAAGCTGGGGGAGAGGGAGAGAGGGAGAGGGAGAAGCAGACTCCCTGCTGAGCATGGAGGCTGATGCGGGGCTCGATCCCAGGACGCCAAGATCATGACCTGACCTGAAGCAGGCACTTAATGGACTGAGCCACCCAGGTGCCCCTCCTTACTTTTTCTTTAATTAAAAAAAAAAAAAATCTGATGATGTTTATGATACCTGCATGTTTTGGAAAATGTGCAATGTACATTCAATGTACATACACACAAAAATTATATGTAAGATAAAAAACTTTACCTCTATCTTACTGCTTTTTATTTCATTTAATCCTCACAACAGTGCAGGGGGAAGATCTCATTGTTTCTGTTGTCAAGGCAAGGAAACCGAGGCTCAAAGAGAGGTTATGGAGCCTGCCCAAGGTCATGCCTAGGAAATGGATTTGCACTAGGAGAGCCAGAACTCCTTCTCATAAAGCATGAATCTCCTGAAGCTGAGATTCCAGCTGCATAAGTTACTGCAGAGCGTCCGGGAAGCTCAGAGGTTTCTTTTATAATATTCTATACTCAGATCTTGTGGAATTGATGATCCTGAAAAGAAGGAAGGGACCCCAACTGTTACTAGCCACAGAAACGGCTGCTAACAACTGTGGACCTTGGGCAAGATGACTTCCTATTTTTTTTTATATTGCAAAATGATTACCGCCATAGTATTAGCTAACACCTCCATAATTTCATGTAACTACCATTTCTTTTTTGTGGTAAGAACATTTAAGATCTACTCTCTTAGCAACTTTCAAGTATATAATACAGTGTTATTAATGAGGACTTCCTGATCTTAACTATAAGGATTGGACTAGTCTAAGGACCATTAGAGATAACATGTAATATGCTTAAAGAAATGCCAGGTACTAATACATTCTTGGAGATATCGGTTGCAGGACTAAATGGATGCTCCTCACAGGTCAAACATTCCCGGATTGCTCCCTTTTGGTATCTGAATGGTGATTATAGCTGGATCACTAATATGAGGGTCAAAGTGGGAAGCATCCCATCCACATAGTCAGGCACCTGAAAATTAGAGGGGAACACACCACCAGGGCCATAGTTAGGGTAGGAGTGTTAGCCCCAACAGGAGGAGTCATTTTGCTCCTCCTAAATTCTGCAATGGTTCTTGGTTTTGCCATTTTGATGTCTATCGCTCCAAAGCCACTTTTAAGTTTTTTCCAACTCTCCCGCACTCAAGGGGCTTGGGAGTTCTCTCTGAATCACAGGCATAAAGACCTGCCAGGAAGTCCCTGAGTTGTCTTTGTGATCAATTCCTTTCCCAACCAATTTTAAATCTTCCCAGGGGCCGCTTAGTGACTGCATGAGCAGCCTGCAGAACGGGGTGCCTGGCTTTGGGTATATCTGTTCAAGGATGCCATAAACTCTCTACAGCATACCTTTCTTCCAACAATCCTCAAAGTTCACCAGCAAGCATTAGAGAACATGCCTTCCGCTTAAAAGTCACCCCCAAAAGTTGACTTGCCTTCCCAGGTTCACAATGTCACCACGAGAACAACTCCAGCCCTCACAGCCCCATGTTGAGTAGATACCCTGCCCACCACTTCCACAACAACGTGGCCAGTCTCTGACTAATCCCCACCTTACAAATGATTCATAGATAAGAACAAGCTCATTTCGTCCCGCCACCTCCGCCACTGGAGTTCTCCCCAGCATTTCTCTGCTGCAGCCAGAGCCACCAGCAGCACCCTGTCCCCTTCTCAGGGCTCAGGGACTGCACACCGGTGCCTCCCTGGCCCCTCTTGGCAAGCGTCACTGATACCAAAAGGCAGTTGGGGCAAGTTTTCAGAGCAAGGGTTTGGGACTCAGGCAGGCCGCTGATCAAGTTTGAGTTCCTTCACTTGTTGGCTGCATGGCCTTAGGTACCTTTATTTATTTCTCTAGTCCTTGTTTTCCTCATCTGTAAAACGGAAAGATAACTGTACAAATCCCTTAGGGAGATTTTGAGTGTCGAATAACATGAGGCATAGAAAGCAGGTAGCGCACAGAAAGTGCTTTCTAAGAGCTAGCTATTAGTATCACTGTTAACACCATTAAAAATGCCCGAAGACTCAGCTCCACTCAGAGGCCTTAGTAACCCAGCCCACTGTGAACGCCCCAGACTTGTGCCCAATGATCTGCTCCCGCTGTCTCACACTGCACCCCGCTTGCTCACTCCCTCCAGCGAGGTCCCAGAACATTCCATCCTTCTTCCTGACATGGCACTGGTGCTTCTCTCTGTCTAGAATACTCTTCCTATTCTTACTCTTGTCTTCTCTTTTGCCTGGCTGACTTCCCCTCTGTTAGGTCTCAGCTTAGATGCCACTTCCCAGGGAAGCCTTGCTAAGCGCTCCCAGTCTCCCCCACCAGACCTGGTTAGGTCCCTCCTTAACGCTGTTAAATGCTTTATCTCTTTGGAACACTATCCATAATTATAATCATGTCATTATGAATTTAGCCATTATTATGTGTCTATCCCCCCTCCACCATAAACTATAGTTTCCATAGGGTAGGGATTGTGTCCATCATGGAGTCCTGTCACCTAGGAAATGGCTTGGCAGGTAGTGTGAATGAATGAGAGTAAGAAAAAAAGCAAGCTGGAGGGGGCCTGGGGGAAGGGATTGGGGAGGAAAGGAAGATTCTTGGCTACAATATGAACCATTCAAATTATAGCATTCTAGATCCTGGCCACACTGACTCAGCTCACAAAACTAGGCTTCTTCTGGATCTCAGCCATCCTTGTGGAGCCTAACACCAAACCAAGTTTTTCTAGACCTTTCCTTAGAGGATTAGATGCTGCTTCTAAACTCAGCAGGCAGTGCCTAAGGTCCTGCAGGGAATAAGCTAAACTCCTTGAAACATATCCAAGCCACCTGCCTGCCTTTGCATATTCCCTTCCACCTGGGTCCTCACCATGGTGCCACATCCCCTGATTAGCCACCACCCCATGAAGGCTGCCTGGACCTCAGCTAAATTCCTATGCCCTAAAGACATAAGATGCACCTCCAGACCCCACCCAGTGAAGCCCAGGTGTGGCTGAAGCCCCAGTAGGCCTCATGCTTCTGGTTCTAGACTCTGGGGGAGACAGGGCTCAGGCTCACCATTAGAACTTCTAGGGTAGTCGAGCAGCCAAATGAACTCTCAGTGTGACATCCTGGGGTCATTTCTCACCAACTTTCCATGGAATATCACAGAAATGTGACATTTCTATAAATTTAAAAAAATCATTTGAAAAATACCAATTTTTCATAAAATGTCTTACTTGCTTAGGGGTTATCTATCATAATGATGTTAAAGCAATCCATGTGCCAACCCTACCCCTGCTCAACACACACATATTTTAGTCTTACTACACCTATGCTAATTCCCAGGTACACCTTGGTTTCTTTGGAAAAATGCATGTGCAGATTCAATCAACCAACCTAAATAACAATCCTTGCAAACTCAGTCCTTGGTGAGTAGAGGATGCCCTGCCTATGCACCAGACTGGAGGCCTCCTTACAATTAAGAATGGGAGAAATTCCAGGAAGGATATAGTTCAGGTTCAATTTTAAAGTAATAAGACCAGTTTAGGGATGTGCTTGGGGAAATGGATCGCTCGCTAGGTGGAGCTCCTTTTGTCTTCCACAATACCCCACATCCACTCCCAAGTTTTTGTTCACGCTAATTCTCCTGAATGGGTTACCCGCTCGCTTCCCCTCCCCCTGGTTAGACTCAACCCATCTTCTAGGTCCGTCCTTGAAGCTGCCTGAAAACTTCTCCAGGTTGTACCTACCTGCCCTTCTGAACTCTTGGGGGCACTTAGCCCATGTCGCTGTCTCCACATGCTCTATAATAGTCTCATATACATTTCTCCAAATCACATTATACACTCCTCAAGGGCAGTGGCCATGCCTGGTGCCTCCCCGGGGGCGGGGGGGAGTTCATATTGATACTCACAAATCCTTGATCCTTTTATGGAACTGACGCTGAAATCCTGGCCATGTCCTACCCCTCTCTCTCATATATGCTCTAGCCCTCTACCTCACAGAAAATGGGGAGAATGTGATGGGACTAGCCCAGAACAGCCTGGGATTATAGACGTCAACAGAAGGTATGGTTGTTTATATCCACCAAGGTTTCTGCTCGTGTGGGGAAACCACGTGCTTTTTAGGAAGGAGGATATCCTATTAGAGCAGCAAGCTCAGCCAGGGGCTGTGTGGGGAGACAGGTTGAGAGGACAGTCAGAGAGGCTAAGAGCAGGCCAAGGTACTCTGCATAAGAGAAGCTGAGGGAGATACCCTCCGGAAGGAATCTGACATATCAGAAGAGGCTGGAAAGAGGAGGTCGTTGGAAGGACAACCTGTGTGGCTACAGGTACAAAAACAGGGAGAGGACCAGGAAGAAGAAGACAAAGAAGGAGACATAGAACAGCCATCATGAGGAGTGAAACTTTGGGGTAAAGAAGGACATGTTTAAAAACAATTTTGAAGAGTTGTGCCATGTGACATAAAGCCTCCTCCATCCCTCCCTCAGAAACCTGCCGTTATATCAACACTGCTCCCTGATGTTTTCAGAATCAGGTGATTTTCAAAATCATTTTTTCAGTAGGGCAACGGGTACGGCAGTTCTCACAGTGGATGCGGGGTGAATGCACGGAAGTCCAAGGAAACCCAGCTTGGGGACAAATGGGTAATGTTCTCGTCCTTCCTCCCTCCCTCCCTCCCTCCCTCCCTCTTCTTTCTTTCTTTCTCTCTTTCTTTCTTTCTTTCCCTCTTTCTTTTTTTTGAAGGTGTCAGAGTCATTCTTTATGGGTACAAAGACTAAATAAGAAAAATACAATTTGAGAAAATGAAAAACAAAAAAGGCATCCTGAGTCTCACTAGATTAATACTGTTTTTCCTTATTTTTTTCAAACCCTGGTTGAACTTTTGAGAAATGTGTTCTCAACCTAAACCCCAAATAGACCTCTGAGACAAAGGAGAATCCCCATCTTTGGCAACTTATGTTGTACCCACGGACAGCTGATTGCTGCTTACTTGTGGCTCAATTAACAGAAAAAAAAAAAAAATCCAGCGGTTCTGAAGTGTTTTCCTGTGTCTTCTCGGGAAGACCAAATGTTGAGAAGGAGCTTCCCACCTCTGTGGGACAGCATTTGGCCCCAGCAGCCGCACCCCGTGGGCTACACAGCATGCTCACACTTACCATCTAATTTGAGAAACTGGAGCAAGCCAAGAGCAACAGATTGTGATTTGTGGGTGTCAAACACGCCAGAAAGTGGTCAGCGTGTAGGCGACAGATGGGAGAGGGTGGTATTCCTTTGCCGGTAGAGGGGAGGGCTGAAGGCCTCCTCCATTTAGAAACCTGTGGATTTTCCCTGCGAAGGAGACCTGGCCACGCTGGGGTGGCCCTCAGGACAGTCTGAGTGTACAGGCCTCGGAGCCGGAAGGTCAGGCGTGGTTACAATAAAAATAAACTGTTGTGATGAGAACCCTGGCTCAGTGCACACTTTTGTGGCCTTGGACTGAAGACACCGGCCACAGTATGATTTGCATTCACCAAAAATAGTCATTTCAGCATCTGAGAGTGAGGTTGTGAAGGAAGAGCCAAGCTCCATTTCTCACTCTCTAGCTGCTATTTTTCTCCATGGGACCAAACACATCACCACAGTCCTTGTTCTTGCTTCAATCACACCTGCTCAGGCTTGGGTACCTTCACTCAACAAAAGTTTATTTAGGACCATTTATGCACCAGACATTGTGCTAGACACTGGGGATTCCACAGTGAACAAATTACACGTGGCCCCTGCCCTCAAGGGCCTGAGAGTCTTGTTGGGCATGTATGAGTTTCCCGGGGCTGTCCTAACAAAGCACCACAAACGAGGGGGCTTAAAACAACAGAACTTTATTGGCTTACAGTTCGGGAGGCCAGAAGTCCAAAATCAAGGCTTTGATGGGGCCGTGCTCCTTCCAAAGGTTCTAGTGAAGAATCCTTCCTTGTCTCTTTCAGCTTCTGGTGGCTGTGGGCAATCCCTGGCAATCGCTGGTGTTCCTTGGTGTGTAGATGCTTCACTTCAGTCTCTGCCTCTGTCTTCATGAGGTCTTCTCCCTGTGTGTCTGTGTGTCTGTGTCCAAATTCCTTCTTCCCTTAAAGACAACAGTCATATTGGATTTAGAGCCCACCCTAAACCAGTATGATTTCATCTTAACTAATTACTTCTTTAAAGACACTACTTCCCAAAGAAGGTTACCGTTCCAGGTGGACGTGAATTTGTGGGGGGAGGGCACCTGGTGAACCGGGTGTCAAATGACAAACCAGTGAACACAAATAAAAAGATAAGGGGCAGGATTATATGGCAGGTGCTAACCTGGTTGTTTTCTGTATATTTCCATTCCACCTCCTTCTCCCAGGCACGCCCAGTCAGCCTACACCATAGCGGAAACAAGAGCAAAAGGAGAAAGCACATGGGGTGCCCCAGGAAGATTCTTGGATGCATGCAACTTACAGAGTCTGCTTTTCCTCTCCCAGCGAAGAGCCCAGATATGGCAGGGCCTGGAGAAAGGAGAATAAGAAGATAGGCTGGTAACAAGAACAAGAAGGGGGTGTGGGCAGGACTTCAGACTGGGAGAGGAAGGGGCACCTTCTTTGGGGAGGCCAGGGAAGTGAGAGGCTGAGCCCTTCTTGAGTGTGACCCCCCCACACACACATGCGCACATGCGCGCGCGCGCACACACACACACACACACACAATTCTCCACCTCATCCAGAGTCCGAGGCACTTGTAAGTGCCTCTAAACCAAAGGGAGGAGACTTGGACACCTCTGTGGGGTGGGGCAGTAGGAGGAATGGAATAGAACCAACTGGAGTTTCTGTCTTAGCTGAGGCAGTAGACACACCACCACTCACTGTCTCTGTAATTGCAGATGGTGATAGGAAGGGCAGGGGGGTCCTGGCACAGAATAACAAAGGGGGCTGCTTTCAACTGGGGCCTGAAGAAGTCACTGCTAGGATGGGACATGAGGATGGGAAGAAGCTCACAGGCAGGGGGCAGGGCTGGGGACTTTTCTGGCAGAGGGCCCAGCTGGTGCGCAGGCCCCCAGGGGGAAAAGAGCTAGGTACTCTCGGTCTTCTGGATGGAGCCCCTGCGCATCAGGGAAGCAAGCGAGAGAGAGAGAGAGACACTAAATGGGGTGAAGAGGGAGGCAGGGGCTGGAGCTGCAGGCCTGGCAAGTCCCAGTAAGGAATTTGGAGGTCAAATCAGCAGGACTGGGTGATGGAATGATGGCAGGTGGGGGAGAGGGTGTCAGGGGTCTGGATAAGAAAAAGAAGCTACACGAATGACTCAGAGGTGGAAGTAGGAGGAGCAAGTTTGGGCAGGAGGGGTTGGAGCATTAACTTGGGGGCATGTGGAGTTTGAGAACGCTTCTAGGTGGTCATGTGGAAATCCCAAGAAGGCAGATGAATGGCTGGGTCTGAGCTCAGAGAGAAATCAGGCTGAAGACATAAAACATAAACGTGGAAGTTACCGCAGGGGTGTCAACGAGGGTAAACCCATCCAGGTCAGCCGTGTGGCAGAGAGGAGAGAATCGGAGGCTTTATTTTGAATAAAATGTAAGCATTTTTCCCAAATTACAAAAGCAGAACATATTCATTATAAAATGCTGGAAATTCAGACCAGCAGTAAGAGGGTAAAAAGAGGAACGTTTGCCCCAAACAGTGTACTGTAAACATGTATATATGTCAATATATATCCTACAACAGGGTGGTGTGCAGCTGGGGGGGGTTGCATTGCAAGAACATGGAAGTCGTTCCTGATGGTCTCCCATTATAAACAACACTGCCATGAACAAGCTTATAATCTTTGTATATATCCTTTCATTACTTCTATAGGATAAATGACCTTGAAAATCATAAGAGGTTTATGTTTTCTGTGGGTTTTGATCATTGTCACCACATTGCCCTCCAAAAGAGCTGGGTCTATTTATGAAGTTATAGGTGTGGTTGGATCACGAGGAACACAGACGGGCCAGTTTCCCTCCCATCTCCCACCACTACCCACAGGGATGAGCAAGTCCAAGGGGTGGAGGTTGTAGTCCCAGGGAAACGCTCCAGAGCACATGTCTGCATGAGCTTTCAGGCACTGAATGTTCCCGAAAGGAGTGATTCTCCTGTGTGCCAAGAGTGACGTCAGGAAGCTCAGGGCTACCAGATGGACGGAACTTACATGAATGCAGGTGGGCCAATGTTGCTTGTGCTGATGGGTGACGTCAGAGAGAGCTCTGGGTTTAATAGGCAGCCCTTACACCTTCCTTCAGGCTCGCAGCCCCACACAGGTGCAGCCTGACAGCGCCCAGTGGGGCTGCTGAGACCATGACCGGAGAGCACAGGCACCTGCTTTGGTGCTCAGCACATGCACCCTGGCACGTTTCCTCTTCTCGCCCCGTGGTCTGTCTTCAGGCGATGGCCACCTGGAGAACACATCTCTGAGGCTCTCCCTCCCTCCCTGCTTGGCTCGGTGTGTCTCTCACCCGCTGGGGATCTCACTCCCCAGTAAAGGACTTGCCTTTGAGTCTGTTTGTTAGGCTCTGCGTTGGGGCAAACTCAGGCTAAGACAGCGGCTTCCAGTTGTGCGACCTTTGAGAGAGTGCCTTAATCTCACTAATCGAAACGTTCTCATCTTCGAAACGGGAGTGCTTCCTGGGGTAGGCAGATTAATACCCCTGCCCCCCAAAGGTGCTTGCATCCTGGTCCCCGGAGCCTGGAAATATGTTAGATTATGGCGAGGGGAAGTTGAATTTGTAGATGGAATTAAGGTTGTTAATCAGCAGACCTGAAAATAGGAAGATGATCCTGGGTAATCCAGGTGGACCCAGTGTAATCAAAGCGTCCTCCTTAAAAGTGGGAGAGGGAGGCAGGAGAGGTAGCCACCGAGGAGAGCCACACAGAGGTGCTGCATGGAGGGCTTTGAGGCTAGAGGAAGGGGCCCTGAGCCAAGGAATGCGGGCAACCTCTGGAAGCTGGGCAAGGCCCAAAAACGGATTCTCCCCTAGAGCCTCTGGAAAGAATGCAGTCCTGCTGCCACTTTGATTCCAGCCCCAGGAGACGTGTGTGAGCCTTCTAACCTTCAAAACTGTAAGGTAATACATTTCCCTTAGTTAAGGCACTAAGTTTGCAATGATTTGTTATAGCAGCAAATAGAAAACGAAGACACTTAACTGCATGTGACAATTTTAGGAGCTGATGTGTGTAAAGTACTCAGCTCAAGGCCTGGCGTGGAGGAAATATGTTACTGCTGTTATTGTTTGGTAGCAACTAACCCTCTTCTACATTGAGGTGACACCTGAGTGCCAGCCCTCGTGATTTGGGATGAAAACCTAGTCCTTTAAAGGGCACACAAGTGATACTGATGTACATCCAGGACCTGGGACCATGCCTTTGAGCCCCAAACGATAGCCTTGTGGCCACCAGCACCACTCAGCCCCTGACCATTGGCACCCTGGTCCTTGCCCCATCCCAGGCTGCAACCCAGCCAACCCCCCACCCCATGAAAAAGAGCCAGAGCCAGAAATAGCAGCCCCATCCCTCAGTCTGAAAATGCACTCCTGCCAATTTGGTATTTTTGTCACTGTGCATGCCTCCTATTCTGCATTTAAAATATGAAGACACTTTTTCAGGCCACATCAATATACTAGGCCATCTTCTACTAAGATGGGGTCCTGGACCAGCAGCATCAGCATCACCTGGAACTTGTTAGAAATGCAGTCTCCATCCCATCCCAGACCTATTGAATTAGAAACTCTGGGGTGGGGCTCAGCAATCTGTTTTAACAAGGCCTCCAGGTGATCCTGATGCATGGAAGATTTGAGAACGGTGGCGCTGCGCTGGGCATTGTACCAGATGCCAAATGCAGGCTACCACCTGCCAGGTGGACTATGTGTCTACCACCTGGACTGCCAGGTGGATTGGGCCGTACCTTTCACATCCTGTCTATTCCTACCACCCCCCACCCCCACAGGTCTGTCACACAGGATATAAACCTTATTGGTTAAATCAATAAATATTGGGTACCTACAGTATGCGAGGCACTGAGCTAAAAAGTGGGGTGCAGGGGGGGAACAAGCCAGCTTGGGGCCTTTCATGGAGCTAAAAGAGAAGACATTTAACAAATCATTCCCCAGTCATACCTCACAGGGTACAGTTTGCAGAGTTTTGTTTTTTTAAATCCAGGCTTCTCAAGCTTTAATGTGCAAACTAGTCACCTGGGGTCTTGCTGCAATGCAGATGCTGCTTTGGTAGGTCTGGGGCCGGGCCTGAGAGCCTGCATTTCTAAAAGGCTCTCGGGTGGTTCTGAGATGGCTGGCCTGGCAGCCACCAACGCCTTAAGCCTCTTAGGGCGAGTTCCTATCCCTTATCCCGTTTAAGTCCCCGGTTTTGCTGACAAGCAAAGGTGGCAGGAATTAGAGCCTTATTTGCCCGTCAGGAGAGCCAGGTCCTGAGCCTTCGCCATGTCGAGGGCTGGCACCCTAGAACCCAGGAGCTTCTCGGGCCGGTTATCGGGAAGGCCTGGCAGTGGGGACAAAGGACAAAGGCAGCTCCCTGATTAACTGCGGGCACTCGGGGTTTATCACAGGACCGCAGAGCTCTCCCCGCCCCGGGCCTGACAGCTGCAACTAGAAAACAGATGTGAATTTGCAATGGTGTCCGAGGGAAAATGCGCTCTTGGGCCAGCACTGAATGATAAGGAAAGCCGCACTCCCCAGTCGCCGAGGGGAAAGAACACCAGAGCTTCGCAGCGCCCCTCACTCCCCCACTTTTTTAAAAAACAAAAGCCTCCCAATCTCCTTCCTATAGCAAAGGGAAAAGGGGGCGCAGGCTTTTCTTGGCCTGTTTCCAGCCAGGGCAGCTGGAGTCTATTGGACACATTCAGTCACTCTTTCCTGAGACAGGCTGGCTAAAGGCTGCCTTGCATTCAAGACCGCTCTTTCCCCTGGGGGGCCTCTCCCTTTGAGGCTGAGGAATGCCCCCACCACGGACCACTGCTATCTGTCTTGTCCCCTGTTTCTTGCCTACAGTGAGCGTTCTCCAGGTTTGGGAAGGTGGTAGGATTCCAAGGGATTTAAGGGATTCTTTCTTTTGGAGGTTCGACCCCGCATCCTATCAAGCCTAATTAGCATCCATATCTCATGTATTCAACATTTGGCCAATTTGAACAAGTGACTATTTTGGCTGTCAAAAGTACGATCTGAGTCTTATTAGTCTGCTTTTGAAATGAGTCGCCTACAAGGAATACATCTAATTCACAACTGGTCGTGATTTCTCAACAATTGTTATTGCAAACTAGAAAATTTTTTGCAAAGTAAGGAAAGCAAGCCTTAATTGTTTTTGAACACCATGAATTTATGAATCCCAAATTTAACTATTTATGAAGTTTAGCATGATATTTTTGTGGGCATTTAATCAAACTTTCATTAATTTCAATTTTGCCCCTTTTCCTACTTTGGAGTTCCCTACATGGTTTTTGTTTTTTTGTTTTTTTTTTTTTTTTTTTTTTTGAGTCTTAAGCATTTCTGTAGGCTCTTGAA